CATGATGGCAGAATTTCATCGCAGGCCATGCCCTCTCTTATCTGACTGTTCCCCAGGCAGCATCTCTTCACTCCATTTCTCAAGGTCTTTCTCACATATCATTACACATATCTTGCTAAACATGGGGCTAACTAACCCTTGCCTCTTCTTTTTTTTTTTAATACAAACTTTATTAAGTTTCAGCAAAGAATAAAATATAAGGAAACAGAAAAAAAGAATTGAAAAAGGGGAGAGAAACTTAAAGGGGAGAGAAACTTAAAGGGGAGAGAAATTTAAAGTGCAGAAAAGAAAAGGTAAAAAGAAAAAGTCTGATTTTCTTTGGTAAATATATAATACCTCTTACTCTAAAGTTTAAACTAATACGAAGTATTTCTATAGTCATAAAGGATATCAACCCCGGCCTCTCCTGATATAGAAGTTGAAGTCCTAGAAAAGACCCACAAAACAGGGAGGGGCTTTCCTAGGCATTCCATCTCTATGACTGTTTCAATTTCTGCCTCCCTGCAGCCACAGGGATGGCTTGAGTATGAAAACTGAGCTGAAATGAGCGGATATGCAGAAAGTTCACATTATTTCTATATTGATGAAATGGATCCACCAAGCCCATCTCTAAATTAAGAAGGGAGATACTCACCTGAATTTTTGAAGACCCATATCCTTGGGGTCTTCATTCCTTGCCATGGTTTCATCTTGCGCACCTTAGACAACACATGGTATTTTAGTAAAGAGTGTATTCCAATAGAAGAGAAAGCAGCGTATTAAATAATAATATGATAATAAAAGTTCATTGTCAGAAAAAGCTTTATTGAAATACATCGCACTTTGGCAGATATGCAGCCAACAACCACTTAGGGGTAAGGGCTGTTATGAGGACTTTAAATTAATTTAACTTCACTTAATATGATTATGCTGAATGGATGTAATACTTTTCCCCTTCTATTTGATTAAGTAAAAAATCCTTCTGTTGAACTCAGCTCTTGGGGACTTGTCGATAATACAGAAGTAGTTCATCATTGCTATCTTCATTGTTTGGCCTTTTGCCCAGAGTACCCAAACACTAACTAGGTTTGAGCTGGCTTAGCACTTCTGGAGACCACCGAAGGTTGGCCAGGTGCTGCCGCAAACTGGAGACTTGGTTCCATTAAGTGAGGGGAGAGGTGCTTTCAGACTTGCAAGACTGATGTCAGCACTTTGAGGTAGTCCAGACAAGACGTGTCAACCATGAGCACTAATACTATTGTAAGTTTATAGTTATAGAAACTTGCAAGTCTGAAAGTACCTCTCCTGAAAACTAGGTAGGGTCCCTTCGGAGATTTTTTCTCCACCCCCATTCCTCCTTCAGACTCAGATTTCATTTTTCAGATCGTTGCTTAGTCTGCAGCTCTTCCTCCTATCTCCGAAGGTCATTCCCACATACCATTACAGGACTCTAAGGCTGCGCAAAAGGATTTAGGGGGCATATGTTGTATACCCCTGTTCAACTGCAACGTGGTACTAATGGAAACTGTACTAAAACTCTAGTTTCAGATTCTGAATATTTCAGTTGGACTAGCCAGCTTCTCAGTTCTTATATGAGTAGCTGGTTGATGTCATGTGTTTACTTAAAGCAGGAGAAATAATGTTAGATCACTCAAACTATTTTAGTTCCCTAAGTGACCAGGAGAGATGAAATATTGTCTCAGAGGTTTTTAGATACGATTGTTTCTTTTGACAGTCAAGCAGGGTCAGGCCA